AAAAACATGGAAAAAATATAAAATAAACAGACATGAAATATAAAATGCAAGAAATGCAATGCATGATGTATGCAATTGGAGGCATTGATCCAGAAAAGTGTTCATTATTATAAATAACCCTTGTTTAGACAAAAATGTCTTATCTTTTAAGAGACATAAAAAACAGATTAAAGGTACATTTGGACTAAATCCTCTAGACCCCGAACAGCTTCCAGTAGGTTGACAAGTCTTCTGCCTTCATCTGTCACTGGTTGAATGCCTTGTCGAACCACACCCGCTTCCCTTGCTAGGCTGTGAAGATGACGGGCTGCTTTTTGCACTTGATCCAGGAAATCTCGGATGGTTGCGTCTCGGGCCCTCACCCTTCGCTGTGCTTGTTCCCAACGGAAACGCCATTGTAATCCTCCGTCGAAAGGCACCATCTGAAGCTCGTCTGCTTGCCTCTTGAACCCATCTACAATAGCTTCTAACTCAGCTATTGTCTTGCCATCTTTCTCATGTTGTTTTTCTAAGTCAGCTACCCGAACTCTCAAGCGCTGGTTCTGATATTGACTATCTGCCAAGCGTCTTTGGGCAGTCTTCGTTGTTCTTCCAAGCTCTCTCATCAGGCCCCTCGAACTTCCTTTTCAGGCTATGAGCTTCGTCTTTCCAGTATTCAGAGGTTACCTTCAACTTGGAGTTATCCTTGACCTTATCTTGATACCCCTTTCTCAAGTCTTCGAGCTCAAAACGGACTCTTTTTTGTTCTTTTTCCAATTTTTCTGCCCGATCTTTTTGGGAGTCAGCATCAAGCTTCCACTGATAACGTTCAGCTTCAAGTTCCTTTATCCTTTGCTTCAGCTCATTATTTACGGCTTCAAACTCGGTCTTGGCTATCTCGAGTTCAGAAGGGACATGCCTGAGATGTTCTTCCATGGTTCGGGTGTCATCACAGTTTGGCACATGGATGTTTTCATTCTTTCTCAATCTTCGCCACTCCACATAATCCGGAGTGAGCATGCTTCTGGCAGCTACAACATCCATCCGGAATACTTTTCTCCAAGAATCGGCTGCTTCTTTGATCATCTTCTTATAGCTGTCGCCGTGATACTCAAACTCTGACCTAGCTAACCCGCACGTTGCTGGGACAAACTGACGTGCTCCATATTGTCTAAGTGCTAATAGCGGAGCATACCCGACTGCTCCCCAAAGTCCAAGTAAGGTCACCGTGTCGGAGTCACCACATCGAAAAAGAACATCACTGAGGAAAAACCAAGGGGCTCTCCAGACAATATCTCGGTCTTGAAGATGCGTAAAGACCTTCATCCATTTTTCTTTCGAAGCGCCTTCATGCCATTTTAAGGTAATAAATTCACCTAGAGGTGAATAGGTGGTGCTGAAACGGCGGTAGGCAACCCCGTCAGTCTTCCAGAAGTGGCTGTGAATCCAGACCTGAAGGAGCTGAATGCACCCGGTGAATCTTCCTCCGCCAGTTCTTCGGCAATGGTTGAGCGATCGAAAGGTCTCGGCCAAGATGGCTGGTGCTGGGTTAACTCGTTTAGAAAGTTGCTCAAATAGTTCCACCACGGCAGCGTCAATGCACCCCAAAGCCTTCGGAAATATGATCAAACCGTACAGACCCAGTGCAAAAAGGTCTATAGTCTTCCACTCATCAGGGTGGTTTTTCATTAGTTGCTTTATATGGATCCACTCGATTCCTTCCCCGCTACCTTTGTGCCGGAGTCGATCAGTCACCCACTTTTCATCAACCCCTGTAATCTTGGCCAGTCCGTTCTTGAAGGGCTGACTCTTGATATGTTTAATATATGCCCTCTCTAGTTTGATGCTTTCGCAGTGCAGTAGAGTAGTATACTCTTCGATAGTAGGCACCATGTCTTCCTGGTTAAAGGTGAAACAACTATATCCAGGGTTCCAGAATTGAATTAATGCTCGGAGTAAGGGCTCATCAGTCTTGACATGGAGCAAGAGGGCGATATCACCATATCGTTGGCTGAACTTCTGCTTTCTTTCATTCTTCCAACTGTCCCAAATGTTTCGCAGCTCTTGGACATTATTCTGTTTCAGGCTGACAGCGGCATAACTAACCAGTTCTGACACATAGTTTCCCTGAAGACTGTCTCCCTTCTCTTTCTGAGCCTTCTCGGACCATAGTCGTGCCTCAGCGTTTTCAATCTCTTGTATTACAACACCTTTGTCCATTAATTCGAATTATTTTGTGTATAACAAATGCTTTTTAGGGATCAATAGCCTCTTGTAATGATGCAAATGCTAGAAAACAAACACAAAGGCAAAAACGTTAGTAAAATAAAAATACAAAATAAAAAAAATGATGGAAGGAAAAAGCGCAAAAAAACATGGTTAGGGTAAAAATATCCTAAGTTTTGGAACGTGGTTTCGGGGTAGGCTCTAATTCTTCATGGTTTCCCGGTTTAGGTTTAAGAAAACGGTACCCGAGTTCTCCCTGTCGGTGCCCCCTTGGGCTTGCCAGACCCTTAGTCCTAAACCCATCACAGGCTTGTGTGGACTAAGTTAAACTCGAGGGGACACATTCCCTTATGCCCGTACGGTGAATAAATTCACACGAAGACATAAGATATATGAATCCCGAAGGCTACTTGCTAGGCCCGCACGGTGAATAAATTCACACGAAGGCGTCGCTTTCACCCCCACTTAAAATAGGAATTGGAGCTCGGGTATAGAGCCTTAGATAAAAAAAACTTTGAAGTCTGAAATCATGAGAAAAACGATTAGTCCAACTATTTACTCGAAAATATAATCAAAAGTAAGTAAAAAGGATCGAAATATTACCTTAAAATTTAAACTTACCATTTTCGTTAAAAAGACAACTAGAAATTACCTTAGCCTGACTCACTTACCTGTTCCCAGTAGAGTCGCCAAGCTGTCGGAACCGTCTTTGGGTTGGGCCCCGAAATTGGGCTTCGACTTGAAAAATATGGATTGGAGTCGCCACCGATCATTTATTTAAAAATAAACAGGCTGATCGGATACCCTATTTCTTACCTGATCTGCATCTTACCAGAAATATGTCGGGCTCGGGAGTCGGTTACGGGCAAGGAAGGATTAGCACCCTTGAACCGCCCTTTCGGTACTACATAATTTCCAGTTGTCTTAATTAAGAAAAATTGTAACTTTAAATTAAAAGGTAAAATAGCGATCCCTAAACTTACCTCTGATTGGTTGAAACTCTTATTAAAAAGGTCGAAAATGTTAGATAAAAATAATAATAGTAAATGAACATTAAATAAATCAAGAGGAAAAAAAACATAAATAAAATATATTTTTAAAAAAAAATAATAAATCCAAGAAAATATGAGAGAGGGAAAAAATGAATAAAGTAAATCACAACTCTAACATTCAAACCAAATCCTAAATGGGACCTTAAACATCCACAAGATTTTAAAATAATAATGAAGACAAAGTCAAGCATTCCAAAAATAATCACATGCAAATGGGGAGTAAATTAAAGCGTACAACATGCACAGAATTAAACATATAAATTCAAAGATCAAATAGGAGAAGAGAAAAAAACCTAACCTACTGACTTAAACTACCACCTTACCGAAACAAACAAAAGGAAAAAAAATAGTCAAAAAGAAAAGACAAAGAGTACATGCAGACAAAAGAAAGACCTAGGGGATAATAAAATATAAATAGATATATATAAAGATATAATATTAGTAAGATAATAGTAGGAAATTAAAATAAAGTTAAAAACGTATAGAACAAAATATAATAATAAAAAGCATAGTAAATAAAAAATAATAATACATCTACATACCTATATATAAATAATGACATGAAATATATAATAAAATATAATATAAATAACAACAAAGGTAAAGATAATAGGAAAATCAATAAAATGAAAAATATACATATACATAAGATTAATAAATAAAAATAATTAAGTAATAATAAAAAATATATATAATAGAAAAAGATAACTAAATATGTACATAGACAATAATAATAGAGAGGAAACTAAGTAAGATATATATATATACGTTAGTGACAATAAATAAAAATAAACAGTATATTTATATAAAAAAGTATAATAAGATACTAAAAAAGTATAATAAATACAAAAAACGGAAAGGATGAAAAGGAAACAAAATAATAAATAATAAGCGGTATAGTTAAATACATATAACAAGGACTAAAATGTAAAAAGAAAGAAAATTGTGGGCCAATTTAAAGATAGTTTGAGATTTACAGTCAAATGTGGGGGATTGAATTGAAAGGAAAATCGAATTACATGACCAAATTAAGAGAGGACCAGGGCTTAAATTAGGATTTAGGGTCAAAATAAATGCATTAAATCTGCGAGGGACCAAAAATGAGATTGCTCCATTTGCGTTTTAAAAACACACGGGTCGGGTCACGGTCCAAGCAGGTCGAATGGGCTTAATATATGACTCAAACAAAAAAAAATTTAGTTTCATTCCTTTCTTCAGAAATAAAAAAAAACCCTCGTCTCCTTCTCTCATTTCTCTATCGCCATTGTTCTTCAGACATGAAGAACATGGGCCAAGTTTTCCAGAATCCGGCCTTTGGCCTCCGAGCGCCGCCTCGCCGCCGCCGTTCATCTTCGGCAAAAAAAATTTATTTTTTTACAGTTCGAAAGCCCTTTACCCACGCTTCTCAAAAATGAAAAAAAATCCAACAAATAACGAGCCTCAGGGAGTAGATCTAGCTTCAAAGTTTTGAAACTCTCCCCTTGTTCATCGGCTGAAAACGTTTTTTTTCTTTTTTCTGGGTCGTCTTTCGAATCAAAACGCAGTACAAGGCCTAGAAATCAACATGCAAAGGCAAAAAAAACGGATGGACAAAGGTAAAAACACTGCTACCTTTTTATTTCCTTTCGAAACGATTACAATAACTCTGATTTGCTTCGTGGATTTTTTTTTTTTGAGTATTTTGTGTCTAAAGCTCTCTGGTATTATCTTCTGGAAAAAAAAAATCATCCCTCGTAGTGTTACAAATGGATCTATTTATACTGAAAAACTAACTATTTTTTAGACTCCTATTTAAAATATAACTCTAATGCGTTGTTGTTTGTTGATGATGGTTGTATCGTTCGTCGTACGTTTCGGGGTTGGAGTCCCGTATATCCACGAAGGTGGTTTACTGCCGAGAAGTACGGGGGAGAGGCGTGAACAGTGAAGACTCGTGAGGCATGGGGTCTTTGCGCGGCTGGAAACAAGGGATGTGGCGTTAGGGTTTGGTTTGATTACCAAACGAGTCTTCTGTTGGACCATCTGGGTTCCTGGGCCACGTGTATCTGTAATGGATCTTGGACCACCTGTAAAATGTAGCATAAATAATGAATAAATGAAAATATAAATTTATAATAATAAAAACAATATTATAAAATATAATATTAATCGATCGAAATTCAGTGTCTTCATTAATAATAAATTAAAGTCTATTATACTCGGGTTTAGGGAGTGTATCATCGTTGCTGCCACATATTATGGACCTCTGTAACCGTGATTGGTCTCTATCACTTCTACACGTGCCTCGTGAGTGTAACAGAGTGGTCGATATCTTGGCAAAACTAGCGTCGTCAATCCCTCTCGGCATCAACATCTTCCATGACCCACTTGAGGCGTGCTTGGAAGCCATGTAATAGACATGAAATAAAATCACAATAATAGAATCAAATTTGCTTATATGGTGGATTATATTAAAAATTCTGACGATTTGATTGTGGGAAATGGGATCCTCTAATATCGAATATTGATGAAAAATCTGAAAAACATTTAATATAATGTTGCACATGTAAAAGCTTAAAGGTATCCTATGGAGCGATGTGCTGTACATAATTATGTTTGTTTACTGACTTTTAATCTGTCAAAAGACTTTGTATTTGGGGTTTAAATAATGGCAATAATTAAGATGGCCGTTGGTAAACAACGTGGATCATTGTCCTTTAATGATTCAAAAGCGAATTTAAGCAAAGTTATAGAACATGTTTGGGAAAGCACGCAACCTGAGGCTCACCACACCCCAACTTGATGCCTAAAATACATTGTTTATTTGTTTTCCCCTTTTATTTAACTTGAGTTGTTACATATCATTTAAGTATAAACATATTAAGAGCACTTTTATTCTTTTATTCTTTCTTGGAATTCCCTTCTCTCTCTCTCGTCTAGATAGGATTGGGATTATATTTAAAATTTATTAAAAAAATATAGATTTATATAAGAGTTAGTTGCATCACATGTCCTCAAATTATGATCTTCGTTCTAAATTAGTCCCTTCACTTAAATATTCTAATTTTATCCACAAATTCATCCAAATATGCTATTTGAGTTGTTACATATTGTTCCCATTGTTTTTTTTTATTTAAACATTAGTTAAATAAGTTTTCTGACACATCATTTTTTCTAATAGTCTGAGATAATTATAAGATAGTATATGTTCATAATCTTTTTTTAACCATTGACAACGCACATATCCTGCAGACGTAACAACTCAAACGTAATATCATAAAGAAGAAAAACACATTTTTAACCACTAAAATCACTCAATGGGTCGTGATGTAACTTCGTTTTTAGGATAGTGTAAATCTATGTTAAATAATTAGCAAAGACAAGGTCTTGAATGAAACCTTATGAGCCAGAGTTTTGGTATTATAGTTGTGAGCCTATATTTTAGCTTAAGTGACCCTACAGTTATGGCCTATGGGCTGTGCCAACTACAGTTTCTCTATTGGACCCAATTTCTCTCTCTCTCTCTCTCCCTCTCCCTCTCCCTCTCTCCCTCTCTCTCAATATAGGTTCATAAGTAGGAATGTTCAAACGGTTAATTCAATCATCGATCAAATCAAATTAGTTAAAATTAAATTGAATGAAAATTTTCAATTATTAACCGAACCGAACAAAGTTCGATTAATTTTATCAGTGACCAAATTAATCGATTTTTTTCGTTATATTATTTTGAATTTAATAGATATTTTTTATTAAAATTTGTTGGGTCTTGAAAGTTTAATGTGTCTAATGTGGTTAAAAATAGTTAGATTTAAATTCTTAATGGGTTTGAGCTTAATATATATAATATATAATATATTAAATAATTAAATTTTCGGTTAATTAATCAATTTCAAACCAAATTGACCGTTAATTGAACTTTGAAAATTTTATTAATCGTTAATCGATTTAACATCAAATTAATTGAACTGTATTTTAATTCGATCGATTAATTCAATTAAAACCGAATAGTGAATACTCATACTCATAAGTTTACTTTAAAAAAAGTACACTGTGCATTTTTCTTTGGTTGTCCTCCCTGTTCTCCTTTGTCCTAACTAAATAGGATTGACCCGTGTTATTCACTTAGTTTTGGTGCGTGAGTCTCCTAGCAAGGTTTTTCTACATACATAAAGACTCGAACTCGAAACCTACTTAAACGATATCAAGCTGTTTACAGCTTGAACTAACCCGTACAGTAAATTATGCATTTAATCCACCAGTTTTACTGTCCTTATTTGGTCATGTAATTTTAAATTAATTTTATTTAAAAATAATAATTTTATTAAAAAAAATCAAATGTTACATTATAAAAATGAACATCATTCACATGCATACAATGATGTGTTTAGTATATTTGAATTAATTATCAAAATAAATCTAGATTAAATTCTAAATTAGTGAAACTTCAGCTTGGAACTAAAGTGTAGGTAAAGCATTCACCAGAATTTTCTATTTTTTTATTACTTAATAAGACATGAAAGGTAGGAAAATTAGGTCTGATATTACCAAAAATCAAGAAGAAAAACTAATTTGATGCACACAAAAAAAGAACATTGAATGCAAAAATTTCCTACCCCACCAAACGGTTCCGGGAAGTTTCACCTCGAAGTCACATGATGAAGCTTTGGGAATCCTTAAATCCTTCTCATGTTTGTGCATTGGAGAAGATGTCGGATTGGGATCCAGTTTTTGCGGCGGTGCTGCTCTTCATAGCGCTATCGCCGGGGCTGCTTTTTCAGATTCCGGCAATCCCGTTTTGTTGAGTTTGGTAACTATCAAACCAGTGGAGCCTCCATTCCGGTGCGTTCCATTATTTACTTCGCACTTTCCTTGTTAATTATTCGGATCAAGGTTCACATTGGCTACTTTTCTCATTCCAACTATCCACTTTCTCTTATGATTTTCTAGCGTATAATGGGTAACATCCCATTCGTATAAGATAATTTTTGACAGATAAAATCGAGAGATTTCCGAATTAAAATGAATTACATCTTGTAAGTTGGCATCGAAAATACTCAACTAAAGAATGAACAGGGTATGGGCATTAGAATTTTCCCTATTCCCACTCCGCTGATGCTACTCCAACTCCAGCTTTTGCTTCTTTCTCCGATGACTCAATTATTGCTTTTTTGTCCATTTTTATATGAAGTATAAACCCACGTACCAGTGTCCAATCCAAATAAAATGGCACAATTTACTGAATTGTGGATCTGCAATTGTATGTGAAGGTCTTCGACTCTTCATTTCATAATGTCGTAACCGGTTTTCGTCCGGATACGAAAAATTTATTTGGCGGAAAAATTGATGTGAATAAATGATTTTTGAAAATAATTTGGGAGTCGCCATCGGCCTTTTGGGTCAGGTAGGTCGAATACCTAAAAATTATTTTTTAAAAGAGTTTTAAGAAAACATCAATTAAAAAATGAACTGATCTGCGTTTATAACCAAAAATTCGTTCTTTTTAATAATAAAAAGGAATTCGTGGTCGGTTACGTTTAGGGAAGGATTAGCACCCCTACAACGCCCAAAATTGGTACTTTTTAATTATAAATTGTCTCTATTATTAAAAATTCAAAATATATTTAATTTATAATCTTATTATTTCAAAATTATATAAAAAATATTTAAAAATATCGGAAAAGTATTTCTAGGTGCCTTAAGACAGCTCTTTTCTTTGATATTAATAAATATTAATTAGAATAAAATTAAATAATAATTTTTTATAATATTTAATTTTAAAATACCAGAATAGGACATCCAGTTGTATTAAGACTGCCCTTTTCTTCGATATTGAAAAATAAATATTAAAATAATTTATTGAAAAAAATAAATTATTATTTGTTATATATATATTTATGACTACATAATAATAATAAAAATATTTAAATATATAAACAAATAAAATTAAAACAATAAAAATACAATTAGAACTATATGAAAATATTTAAAATTGGTGACTAGATTATAGTAAAATTAAAATTAAATATCCAATTCATAATTAATCAAAATTATAGGGATTAAACATGCTATTTTCTTATTTATTAATTCAGTGACTAAAATAAAACTTATCTAAAATTTGAATATCAGATTAAAATAAATTAAAAATATAAACTCGGGATTAAAATATTAATTATTAAAATTAAGGGATTAAATATGTTATTTACCCTAAATATATTATTTTAATATAAAGAACTAAAATAAATAAAATTAAAATTAAAGAACCGAATTAAAAGGATTATAAATTGATTTAGTGACTAAAATGTAAAGTTTACAAATTTGAGGATGGTGGACGGGATTTAACAATAAAAAAATTACACAAATAGCCCTCCCCGAAACGACATCGTTCGGAAAGGACTATTTAAAGCCAAACCCGGCTGGCCCGAAGGGCCAGCTTCATTTCTCGTTTTTTTCCTCTCTCTCTCTCTTCTCTGAGAGAGAGAATTTTCTCTCGCTTCTCTCTAAAACAGAGAGAAGCTAGCCGGCCGACAGCCGTCCGTCGGCGTTCTTCCACCGCCGGCCACCGTCTTCGGTGGCCGGAAAATTTTTTTTTATACTAAAATATAGATCGGTGGCCATTGCTATCCACACTCTTCTTTTCTTCGCCATCTATGCTGTTTTGATCATGGCCCTCCACCTCCATATCTACACTGGCTGAGTCCCCCCGGTGCCGGTGAGATTCAAGATCTGTGTTGGGTTTTATTTTCTTTATCAATCTGTGTATTAGCTTCTTTCAGTTTTGGACCAATTAAGTGTTTGTCAAACATATCTTTAATGACCAAAGTTTACCTTTTTACAATTAAGAAACCCACCACAACAACAAAAAAGAAACTTTGTTTTTTTGTATTTCGTTGCTACATCGTCTCGTTTTGGTATATTATGTTAAGCTTTGTTTTTTGGATGCTGGAATTCAGCCCTCGCCATGTTTTATTTTGCTTGATAGTATGATAATTCATAGACAATTGAGCTTTAGTTTTGCTAAGAATTGTAAAGTAAAACAAAAATACTGGACATAGTTAAAGTTGAAATGATCAACGATCTTTGGCCTGAGTAAATTTCGTAGTACAAATTGAACCACCTTGTCATGAAATATCATTCATTATTACATCTGGTCATGAATTCTCTTGCCAACATGAAAGAAACTAGAACATGAGTTTCATCCAAGTAAAAAAAAAAATTAGAGCCAATGAAAAAGAAAGAAAGAAAAACAAAGTACCCTTTTTGGTTGAGAGTATGAATCAGTTAATATGTATGTGAACACCAATAGCAACGATCAAGATAGTGATTATGCAGAAGTATATGACTGCATGAACCAGGATAGCTATCCCACTTGTGCACATATTACCAAACTGTATCACCCTTGTCCTCGACGGCAGTTGAAACAACAACCCCGGTGACAAGAGTATGAACAAAACTACCGAAACGATCACCGGTCCCCAATCTGCACTCATTTCTTCTCTTTCTTTATTGCTTTTGCTTTCTCTAGTTCGAAGGGAAACTTATGAATGTTTGAGAACTTGTCTTCTGTTACAAATGGGAGAATGGAGAGTTGTGCATTCTATTATGTAGGGGTGGGCAATGGAACAAATGTATGCTAAACTTAGTGAGAAAGAAGGGTTTAAGCTTAATGGGGAGGTAAGGAATGGAAACGTTAGTGGGTTTGCTTTATGGAGAACGCCATTTTCTTTCATTTGCTTTTGATATATTGTTTTAATTCTAGGTTTCTTTTAGATTGCTTTATTGCTTTTTATTAAAGATTCAAAAGAAGGTAATGAATTGTAAAGCAGCTGCGTCTGCATGTGTAAAGTTGAGACTTTACTTTGAAATATTGTTTCCTTGTGATTTTTGCGTAATTTCTGTAGGTCCTATGTACCCTGGTAAATACGTGTTTAGAAATTTCAAATGCTGGGAGAACATTTATGGAGAGAATTTGATTAGGTAGTATCTATTCAGAATTTTAGTAGTCATTGATAATGCACACATAAATGTTTAAACTCGAGATCTCCAAAGAGAATAATATTTCTTTCTACCATTAAAATGGGTTGATGGATTCGTTTTATTGTCATATCATGATTATAGACATAATGGATAATGGATGTTAAAGTGATGAACTGTAATAAACAAATAAAAATCTGGTTTGTAGGTTGTTGAGCATGTAGCTATTGTTGTAGCAATATTCAAGAACAAGTAAAGAACAATAGCATATACATAAAGGATTAGTGACTCGAAGATTATTACAGTTTGGGCTAATTTTAGTTTTGGTCATTATGCTTTGTATATATTTCAATCATACCCTTTTAGCATGATTTTGGTGTTAGACACAAAACGCACTAAAATGTATTGGATTGTACCTAGCTCAGAACAATCAATGATGATTCCACTTTTACAAGCATTTCAAGGATTTAACAATATCAAACCACCACAAAATTATTTCGTTTTTAGGTTAAAAGTAAAAAAATAATCTAAATAATAAATTAATATAATTTAGATATAGTTTATTTTTGAAAATTATAGAAGATTGATAGTGATTAAATTGAACACGAGAAGTCTTCAATTCTAAGACTCCACGTGTTGGACACTTGAATCGCTAAGCGTGTCTGACACCTATAGACCTTGTCCAAATAATCTACCACATGGTACAATAATTAGGACTAAATCGCCAATGATTGATAAAGTAGTAGTTGTATGCTTGCAAGATAAAGTGACTTTGAAAAGACCAATTATATTTACTCAATAATTAGACCATGATTTATGCATCTAATTAAATTACGAAATCAGACCCTTGCTGAATCTTAAGTCAAAAGCACTTCAACTATGAAACAATTACAGATGGTTGAACTGTCAAAGGAATTTATTAACCAAGTTCAGCACAATTCGGAACTCTATCTATCAGTGTTTCAGTCACTAATTTCTCGGGACTTCAATTAGTTTTAGAGTTGTTTTTCAAGCTTGAAACGTTCTTGAACAGAAGAGATGTAAGCTGCAGCCTTAATATCAACACACTCGTCGCCGACAACGCCGAATAAATTGTCGATATGGCTTAAATTTTTACGGTTCTTGTCAGCAGGTACAACGAACGAGATCCGCTTCGGTTGTGAAATCATGTAGTCCTCCCTGGAAAGTCGAAAGTCGACCGAAGCTGTTGTAGAAGAACCCTGGTTTGGCTTAACCTTGGCGATGTATTGCATGGCTGCTGCAGCCGGCTTGACCGCTCGGTACAGCGGCGTCAGCTTCGCCTTGATGAACCCTCTGCCTTTGCTGTTGGACTCCATCTTTAAACCTGCGTTGCTGTTCGATATCGGATCACTAAATCAAATGGCAAGTACTGAGTAGGAAGAAAAGAGTAAGTGGCTTTATATAATACTTAAAGTGCACTGTTTTATTGTGTGTTAATTAAGAGATTTCAGGTAAACATGCGGATTCAAGATAGTTTGTTGTCCGTAACTAAATAATTAAGAGAATAATCTTCTTTATGTACAAGGTTATGCATAAATTTACCCATATTCCAATTATTTGTGGAAACTTGTAAAGCAGATTATGCTTTGTTGGAATATAAGTATATAAAGAAGTTGGACACATTGAAATAAATTTCATGCTTTATAGATATTAGTATAGGATTGGTGATTTGTATGATTTTATGCATGAACCGCTGGCCTCAACAAGTTGTTAGGGGAATCAGAACCAAATGGCAAAGTGAATGGGCTTATCGGTTAGGCAAAAACAGTGGAACCTACCTAGTAGAATATATAACAATATACATTCAAAGATATGTTGAATACAAATATTAAAATTAAAATAAAGAATCTGAAACGTATAATTTATAACATCGTGATATGCATGTAATTGTCAGATTAATATAAAAGATGGCATTAGCCTCATGAACCCAACATTTATTACCCAACACAAAAGGAGGCCCAAACTTATAGGCTCTTCACAAATTACTTAGCAAGGCAGGCTCAGATATGCACTGATCAACCGTCAACAATATGGTAATTCGTAAGCAGCCTGCATTACATACAAAGTAAATATACATTTTGGTACTTAAACTCGGTTTAACGGTGTAATTTAGTACTTAAATTTGGTTTGAAGGTGTAATTTAACATGGAATAAGTTTATAGTTTTATTTTATTAAAAATTTAAACACAAAAACATTACACATTTTTTAATATGCATTATAGTATTGCATGATCATATGAAATAAATTTATAAATATGAAAACAAAAGAAATGTACTATAAAATTGAAAAATGACAAGCTTGGTCCCAAGCCCCGCTAACAGTTTAGTCAGCTCATTTTAATATTTTAATAGTCTTTCAAATATGGATGAATCTTTGAGTTTGAACAAATAACATGACTCCGTACCAATCTAAAAAACTATCATTACCATATTCAAAGCAGTTTATTTTATAATCATTTAGGCCAATAGGAATATATATATATTTTAAATAGTCTAAGGAAACATTCAGAGTTTTCGTACTCTATTGACGACACACATTTACAGACGCAATTATTAGAATATAAAATTTATAAGAAGAAAAATTGAATAAAAAAATTTGTCATGAATTCTTAAGTGGTGCAATGAGTATTGGATTAATTTTGAGGATGAAACACAAATGGCTAGGCTTGTGCAAAACAAGAAAGGGGTTTATGGTCCAAAGTGCAAACCCAGGACAATGATTCATTCATCAGATATTCATATAAAAAGTGAAGAAAAAGAGAGCAAAACATGGATATAATGTTTTTTTGAAGAATCCGAAACATAGCCGATCTGTAAAGGAAAACCAGACAAATTAGTTAGGTTAGATTCCGTCTATATTGGTGAAAGAAACGTCCTTTTATCATATCTTTATTACAAAGAGAGAAAAAAAGCAGCAAAGTTCATTGATAAAATACGTTAATATGGATACAAAATATGGTTGATTTTATCGAAAAGAGAAACCTAAATTTCTGCCTGAAAATTGCAAGGTGAATTAGCTTTAGTTTTTCTAACGTGCGAAGATCATCAGCAGCAATGATGATGCATGCTTTGATGATTACGAAGCAACTTATAATTAGCTCTATCAAACGAGGGTCCTCCACCTAATGTTCTTTTAACAAATTAGGTGTAATAGAAGCAAATCCAACTTTCTCTATTTGCATCAAATTTTGAAATTTTCTTTACAAATACCTCCTTCTTTTTTCCTATATAAAGCAAAGATTTGGGATTCCCACCCATTCTAAATTTTATCATACTAACATACCGCTTTCTGATATGATACTGTTTGTTCCTCTCTATTTTTCTGCATTTTCTGCTTCATTGATCGTCAATGGCCAGACAGTGTACTTCCGGCTGCAATCTGCTTGAGAATTGAGTTGAAAATTCGATGTTGGCACGGTTCACTCAAATCAAATCTCTCAGCAGTGGCTGAGATGTTTATTCTGATTGAGCCGTGCCAATATCACATTTTGTTACATATCTGATATCACCAAGTTCGGATACTTTTTTCAGTATAAAGCATCCTATGATTTCCATTTTTTTCTCTTTCCTTTTGTATTCATATTATATCAAAACAGATCCATGCCATTGATTCTTATATCGTTCTTTATTGCGGTAATTTTGGCTCATCTTTCAGAAAGCAAAAGGAGGATTCTAATGCCAAAGAAGACTTTCCAGTATCTCGACTGTTCTTATATGAAGCTTATTGCAGCCACTGATGATGAAACTCACACTACTATATATGGCACTTCAGATTATGGTTTCTACACGGCATCAAAACCATGTGAATATCAGTTTGTTTTAAATTTTGGTATCTCGAGTTCTATTGACTATGATTTTCAGTTATGGCATCGGCGTCTTGGTCATCATTCAGTTCAAATTCAACGCAATGCAATATAATCTTTTAACAAGATTTTTATAAATAAAAACACTACTTTATTATGTTCTGCTTCTTGTACCGGCAAAAGCAACAAATTACCATTCAGTTTGTCTTATTCGAAACTCTTTGAGCTATTTGAAGTTAATTTGTGCGGACCAATATTTTTCGGTACACTAGAGAAATGTTGATACAAAAAGAAAACAAATGCATGTGATGGGAAACGGATCAAATAGTCTCATTTTTCACGACTAATGTGTATTTTCATACGGCATGGTGTCAAGCATGATCCCCAAGGCACTGTTTTGATTGAACTCAACACCCAACATTGCTTCAAGCTGGTAACATACGTAGTGCCATCAGATAACTTCTTAATTTTCATCATCAATGAGGCTGCAGCCAGAACAGAAGAAATTTGCAGATGAAACAACCGAGGAAAGTAAATTTATTTGGACAAATGAATTGATAATTGATAAAAACCTCTTACTGGAATTGGACGGGGGCCGCGCGAACGCAGGCCCCCACTGCCACAAATTATGACGTAGGCTCTCCTACTTTGAGGAGACCTTAGGCAGGGGCCCTTCCCAAGTGCAATGGAAGTCTCTTACCTAGGCCATGAGTCTTAACGATCACCCATCGACCCCGTCCAGGTAAGTATGTCGCAATGCGGCCAGCTGCTTTTTATTTATACGATCACGCTTGCGCTCCTCCCATTTGTTTCTTCGGTGTGGGATTAGTGCTTCAGCATGAAGAACCGTTAAAACATCCGAGGAAATCATTCATGGGATTTATAAATTCACAAGCAAACTTGGGAAAATGTTCACCGATGAAATTCAGCACCGAAAACGGTTCGCTTATATCCCTATTGTGTCATATATGGACACTATCCTTGAAAATTTTCATTAAACTTACTAGATATATCAGTATTCTATTAGAGAAAAAAATTCAAAATTTTTAGAATGAAATTATTTATTTTTTCTTCAATCTATAACCTCAGAGAATATTTTATTTAAACTATATTCATGAGCTTTAGTAATCAATTTATTTTTAGTATATTTAATTATATACAAGTCGAAGCTACATCCTTGAGTAACTTGAGATTGTTATGTCCGCAACCACACTGTCTTATGTTTCTGTCAAAAAATGATCTAAACCAAATTCAGATCTTGCAAGTTGAAAAACCTCATGATCCAATAACTTTTCATATGCAGTATTGGGCAACAAGGCAAAGCCAACTAGCAATTTGCTACTGAACACCCTGTTTTTGTTTCTTCTGTTGTTTGTTAGTGGCTTTAAACAACACTAAAACAGCTCATTGCTTTGCATGGCATTAAACAGTGTTCGTTGTCGGAGTTCTCATTAGCTTTATCTACGTGCATCCATGAACATTAAGTTGCTCATTTTTCTTTATCAGAATTAGGAAATTAGTACACTATAGTCAACATTGCTTCAAGCATAGACATCATGACCATCAATAAGGATGTAAGCATACCACTGCTACTAGAACAGAAGAATTTGACTGATGAAACAAGCAAAGCATGTATGATTTACCTCTGTCCCATTGTCGCCGTCTGAGAAGCTTAGAATTTTGATCCTGCTTAAGACTCAAGTGTATAATCAATTGAAATTCTTCACTCGACATAAACAATTTTAACAAATTTATTATTGAATTGATCGGGTGGCCGCGCGAACGCAGGCCCCCACTGCCACAAATTATGACGTAGGCTCTCCTACTTTGAGGAGACCTTAGGCAAGAGCCCTTCCAAAGTGCAATGGAAGTCTCTTACCTAGGCCATGGGCCTTCATGATTACCCATTGACCCCGTCCAGGTAAGTATGTTGCAATGTGGCCAGCTGCTTTTTATTTATACAATCTCGCTTGTGCTCATTCCATTTGTTTCCTCGTTGTGGGACTACTGCTTCGGCATGAAGCAACGTTGAGACAACCTGGTGACAAGGCTGAACGTCGAAATGAAGAGATCACGGGTTTTACAATTTCACTGATGAAGAGTTTATTGCAAAACTTAACCTGTTTTTACTTTTATCTCGTACTTTTTTAAAATTATTTTTGTACAGATTAAAAAATAAAGTCATAAAATAAAATATTTTGGCCGATTATACTAACTGATTTCACTGATGGAATAGAGAATAAGCTTGAACAGAAGAATTTAACAACATCCTCATTGATGATCATGGTCTCTGTCTATTTAAGATGAAATTGTCTGATGGCAGTACCTTTTTATCAATCAGCTTGAAGCAATGTTGAGTTCCGATCAAAACAGTCCTTTCTTCAAAGTCCAAGATAGAGGGACGGGTTCATGCTTTACACCAAGCAATGTTGAGTTCCGTTTCCCATCACATGCATTTGTTTTCTTTCAGCAACTTCATGCTTGAATTTTTTTTATTAAACCCCAAACTATACCACCGATATCCCTCTGAATAAGACCTTTGATTTAGGGGAAACAAATCAATTTTAATTAATCACATTTTATAATCTTTAATTTGTTTATAATAAGCTATGAACCTTGATTTTCTCCTAGAGTAATGGATCCTCAATTATTAAAAGGATTAAAATGCCCAATAAAATAATAAAAGGGCCAAGACTCAAACCTAATTCAAAAGGTCCAGCTTACTCCAGCCCCCAAGAGCAAGTACAAAAAAAAAAATCCCCAATTATAAAGCCCTTCCATTTGAATTCATCACTAAAAATCCACTATTTTCCGAGTCTAGGGGTTAGAAAATGGCACTGACAAACTTCATATTAACAGTTGCAGGCGTTAGCGCGGTGGTTCTTCTATTGCGAAGCGACGTTAAACAATCGGCTGCGATCTTTAGGCGCAACGTTAAACATATAAGGAATTGGCTTGAAGAAGAATCTTCTTCTGCTTCCAAGTAACCGTTTTTCTTTACTTTCTCTGCTTTACGTATTTGTATTGGCTTTTAATTATTTTGTTTCAACTTCTGTTAGTACTCACGGTAGGTTTTTTTTGTTGGTTTAATCTGAACTGTGTTGGATATATATGATAAAAAAGAAAGAGGCGTTCCATTACAAATTTTATGGGTATCTGGAATTATTGAGTTTTAAGCTTTGTGATATTCTGGAATGAAAACCCAGAAAGGAAACAGAAAGAGTAAGCTCCCAAAAGTGAGTCAAATCGAAGGGGTTTTATTATAAATAATTAAATCCTTGATGTTGCAAGGAAAATAGTAAGATATAACAAGTTATTTGGTATTGGAACTGTGGTTTTGTCTTATGTGTGTTGCAGAGGATATAGCATGAGAAAGAAACAATTAGTATTGGAATTATATTGCCTGATTGGCTAAGGAATCTTTTGGAATTCATTGTATCTTTAGAATCTACTTCACATTAGTCTGGTTTTGTTTCACTTAGCTTATATTCTGATTATGTTTTTGAAGCTAAGCTGAATTGCACTTATGACAAACCAAATTTAATGGGACTTAGTTCTGCTTCAGTTTTTTTTCTTTTTTCTAAATAGAAAGAGTAAGTTTTGTAAAATTTCTTTCATAAGGCCAGTAGGGGTGTTTTCTGCTTTGATTTCACATCTATCTGATAGTTTTGAGGTAATATGCGACTATGCGTAGCATGTATAATGGCCGACAGTCTTGTCATGAATTTGGTTTAAACGTAATCACAACATTATCCCAGCTCCCACCGGTTCTTCTCTCTTCCTTTAATTTTACCATGTCTGATTTTTGTAAGTTTGATTGTTCTTGCACGTGGATTGAACTGGAAACTTGTAGCTAAAACTTAGTGGCACATACCTGTTACCTTTCATGATTAGATTCCTCGAGAAAGTTTGGAAAAAGTAGTTGTTCCATAAAACGTGTACCTGCATGTTTGTAAGAAAATTACACATCACCATCAATTCTGGTTCTGTGGTTAAGGTTGTTGAACAATGTGATTGCCCATGAATCACTTATCCTGGGAACTTATTTCTTTCTCAATCATGCTTCCCACTCTTCATTATTTTTTTTTTGTTTATGTCGCCAGTGTCTGTTCTAACATTGGTTGCAGACGGTTCTTTTCTTAACACAAGGCTTAGTTCTCACATTGATCCTCTTCTTTCAGGGCAGCGGAGAAGGCAAAGCCCAAGAAATTGGAGTCCAAGGTACCCCCTAAGGAGAAGGACTAGTTTCTTTGTATGGAGTTTAGATTTATCTATTATAACATGCAGTTAATTTTTTTGAATATCTGGGATTTTTATTCAGAATAAATGTTGATTAATGTCTGGGTTTATATGCACTTCATAACTACTTAATTTTGTTGTCTTTAACGTTTTTCGGTTTGTTAATAGACAGATTTGTTTACCTGAGAGTTAATACTTCTTAGAAATGTCGCTCTTATTTTGATTAGCATATAATACAGCTAAGAAAATGGTGCACAAAGGGTAGAAATATTCAGTTGAGGTGCATTTTTATAGGGTTGTAATGAACTTTGAACAGTTTAGAAGCTCAAACTTGATTTGTAATTCATTGTTCGAAACTTGACTAAGCTTGATTGAACATTGTTATAAATCTTAAGCTCTACTTGAAGTGAAATTGAACTACTTGAGGTTGGCTTGATCAAGTTTATTTCTATAATTTACATGAATTTTTAATGTGCTTCATACACATTTCTTTTATTTAAATAGCAAATTATAGATTTTGGAGCTTACGTTTAAGGATATACATATATTAGGACAAAGCAGCAATTTAGTTTTATAAATAGCTTATAAATAAAAAGATACACATATATTTAGGATAAAACAGTAATTTAATTTTATAAATACTTTATGAATAAATAAAAAATGGTTAGGCTGATGAGTTATTCCAATCGAGTTATAAAATACTTGAATTTGGTTTCAGCATGAGTTCGGTCCAACACTGGTTCAATTAAAATTTCTTTTTTTTAGTTGAATTTGAATAATTTGTGGGTACATATCTCATTTAAACCTTTACAACGTTTCCAATCGATGAGATCCAAGTACTCTGAAATTATAAATTGTTCCAAGGGTTGAATACATATTGATCCTTTAAAAAAATTATAATTATCATTTAGCCCCCTTGAATATTTGGAATTTTCTAATTATTTTCTTTTTCTTTTTATTTTTCTAATTAATATATATATATATATATATATATATATATGTATTTGGTACAACTATTGATATATGACTTCTTGGCTGATTAATTTTGGATCGGATATTGTAGAGGTTTATTATGGGATAGCTCTCTGAACCTTGTTTGCATAATCTAAAATGCTATGATTCAAATTTTGTACATTTGTTTAAGAGATCTAGCACTTGATCTCGAACTTGTTTGCTCTATCCACAACGTTAAAATTCAAACATTGAACATTTTAAGAAATCTAACACCTGATCCGCTAGACCAACATATAATTAATATATATTGATATGTATATATACAGAAAAAAATGATAGAACTTACCATCAAAGTTTTATATTATATATATAAATATATAATAATTCATATAAAATATCCTTTCAAACTTCTACGGTGTATATTATTACTCTCCTCCTATATTCCAATGAACTTGAACGGGAAACAGCTATGCAAACTCCACAAATGTGTCTCCAATGAAGCTTTCGCCATATACAGAAAACACCAAGATTGTAATTGATGTAGCACAAAAGATATAAGGGATGAAAACATGAAGGTGTAAGGAACATGAGGTGCAATATATAAGTCCAGCTCACTATTGTACTGAATTGTCAAAGTGACTTCGAAAAGGACCTTCCAATGACTTTAAAAAAGATGGAGACATCCAGACTAGGTGAGAATTGTTTTCTGCTTTCGATTTTTCTGCATTTGTCCAAATTCTTTGAATTTAAAGATTGATTTTTTTAAAGGAAAAGTAGAAAAGGGCATGAGGTGGAATAATAGGAAAGCAGCCATGTAATTCAATCAATCTCTTCACCTAGTAATGTTCAATCCCCACTCTCTTCATTTATTGATTGCTATCTGAATTTCTTTGGATGAATTTAGTTATTTATGATCATCGTTTTTAATAGTAATAAAATTGTTGTCCAATACATACTTTCATTTGCTTCAGTCCAATTCCAAAAAGGATGGAAGGTGGAATATAGTATAATGCTTTTTTTTGGGTGGTAAAGAAGGGATACTATCATAGGCCTCCTTAAAAACTCCCCCAAGCCATAATAAGAGATAATATTTAATGTAATTCAAATTTACAATTATAATGCTAAAAGGATCAAAGTCTAAAGACCATTAAACTGATAATTTTTATTTGAATAAAAGTATATATTGTATCTTATAAGGATTATATCTCATCCTTATTAATTTACAGACTAAACCCTAACAAACATTGATGAACAAAAAAACTACCTATATTATACGGAGGGTTAAATTCAAGAACATCGGTATGTCCCTTAACTGATATGCATATAACAGTTTCATCTACCAATGTATATGGATGATGATAGTGATGATGATGATGGATTTCAAAAGGGGGTGTGTAAATTTGCATTTGGCTCAAGATATGTTCAAAATTGTCGGTTGGCTTCTGTACAGGATGAGTGTGCATTCCTTCATAAGTGGTCACTACCACATTTTCATCTTTCGTTAGACGTTGGACTTGCTTCTTTACATTGCATCCTTCATGTGTGCATCGGTAATAGCTCCTGTACATGCAAATTTACTAATACCATTAGTTGAGTTCAAACCCTTGCATTTCGTTTATCTAAAAATCTCATAAAGAATATGTAATAATGTAAACACGATAATAATGAATGTAACATAATTAAAAAATAAAGAATATCAATATTTTACGCGAAAAAATCCTTTCAATAAAAAAAAGCACATATAAAAGATGAGGAAATTTACTGTAACTAAAAGTACCAAAATATTTGTGTTTAAATATGATTTAGGGTTTAAACAACTAAGATCTAAACTCTAATTCATAGTATATATTTATTTATAGGAATAAGTTTCTTATTTACAAAAGAAACTTGCATTAAGAGAAATACACTCAAATTGAGTTTTTATACTCTTCATCAACATCATTTTTATATTAGTTCAGATCAAAGAGATTTGATCATATCACTCAAAATATAAATAATATTGGTGACATATACACATATATATTCCATTAGACACCATTCTTCATTTCCTATTGGGTTTTATAAGCTCTTAGCTTAATTTGTAACATCGTTCTGTAAGCTCTTACCTTAATTTGTAACATCTTTTTGCTTTTAAGTGATTATATAAGCACGTTTGACCATTTAAATGCCTCAAAAAGAAGGAAGAAAAAACCTAGACAAGAAATTGTATATACATATGCAAACAAATTCAGAAAACCGTAGGCAATACTGTTCACCAAAACATGATAAACTACTGTATCATATACATCAAAAGATCTTAAGATCTTAGTTACTCTTAGAATTTGCGGTAGCATGCATGAAATGGAACAAATTAAGAAAGAAAGAGGTGATTAAGCTAATGATATAAACAAGGCAAGACACAAACCTTGGGAATTTGTTGTTCTTAACAGCTTTTTGGCCATATTTCCTCCAACGATATCCATCGTCGAGTATATCAACTTGACTCCTTGTTTGAAAAGCATATCTGGGCTTCTTTATCTTCTTTTCCATTTTTTTACCTGATTTTACAAATTCCCTATGATCTTCTGGTTTCTTTATCAAGTCTTCGGTCTAAACCCTAATAACCCATCGACGGAATTCCCATGAAAATTGTTGAGAACTTGAGAATTAGGCGCCATGTTTAAAGGTAAAGACTGATCTGCTGCTGCTGGGGCTGGGGCTGACATAGGAAAGAACATTTGATAATTCTCCATATGTAGTAAAAGCCAGCACTGCTTATATATGTGTGAAGAAGAAAACATACAAAGCAATATATATAGCGGTTAAAGGCGTCGTAGGCGGCACGTTTTCTGTTAAAAGATTGAAAATATTGTGGCGGCTTCGTCATTCGGACAAAGACATTATATTTTTCACGATATCAGAAATTTTGGTCGAGAAATTAGCAAGCAAAGAGTATCCATAATTACAACGGATTTCAGTTTAGTTGATATTTCTCTAAATTTAAATGTACGTAATGGTATTATAAAATTTTAATTTGGAAGTATGATAACTCATGGATACATATAAGTAATTTTTGTGAATGTTGGTGGATATTGTAGTTATGAGAGTAGCTTCCGTTGGACTAGTCTCATATCACACGTGCTCATTTATTAAAGATATAGTAAAACTCGTTTTATTGAGCATTTTATTTATTTCGGTGGGGGTGCCATGTCAGACTGCGCCTCCGCCTCAGCTTCCAGGAACTTCCTCAAATTACTATAGGCGTCAAATTTTGAAATAAACTAATGGAATATCCAATTGTAGGGTTTGTCCACTCAAATCAATGGTCCTGTTTTTATGGAATCATCACTGACTATATACTTAGAATTTGGTAAAAGTTATGGAAACTAATTAGGGGCCAACTCTTTCCCACTTTTCCATATCTCCTATCTCCATTACTTCAATCGAGTGCCCTAAGTTTTGTATGAACTAAACTCATACTCCATACAACAAAAAAGAGAAAAAAAGAAGGAAAGAAATGTCATGAAACACGAGAGTTTGAACTTTGAAGTTGGAAAGAAAATGGGCATGTAAAAATGAAGAATTTATAAGTAATCATTATGTATGCATATATATTTGAGATTAGGCATGCGCAGCGGCAAACAAGCTTATCCAGTCAAATATGGAAAATGTGCCATTTTAGAATATTCGACCCAAGTTCTAATCGTCAATTACTCCTATATTCCCACAATATGGTGGTTGCCAAACATCAAATAATAACTGTCCGTTTAATAACATTCCCTATAATCACTTGTATTTATTTCATAAATGGATTAATTTAAATTTAATAATATTTAATATTTTTCTTTTCAAAAATTTCAAATTCAAAACAACTGTGTTTATAAAATATATAAAAAATTATCTAACATATAGATCGATTATTTTCCATATTTACAATTTGCATGCATAATTATATTATACAAAGTCCTTGACTAGCTCTAGAAGGTCATAATTACCGTTCATATACGTTCAGGAATACTTAATATTATGTGTTTCTTTACTTGTATTGCAGTAAATGGCGAACACATGTTTAATATAAAATCAAACTTAACTTTCTTCTTCTTTGTTCATTTAATGTTAAATTGTTTTTTTATTAAAAGTAAAAAATATATTGTGTTTTCATTTGGATTAAACTTTTAAATTATCAAATTTATCTAATGCTAATAATATATATTCATATATTTTGTTCTATTCTTCTTTCTTTTCTAACAGCAGTTTTTCTTTTTCAATTGTATATATTCTTTCAATCACCAGCTAAGAGTGTATAAATAGAGTAATCATTGACCACTCTCAGTAAAACCTATAATACAATAGTCATAGAATAACTGCCTTTATATAAGTAATAATGGCGATGACTGAAATTATTATTAATAAAAGTAGTGATGTAAAGAATCACACTAATAGTAATGAATTACAATTGCAATTTAACGCGTACCAGTTAATTGTAACAATAACGGATCATTGTTCTCGTTATTATTTTATTACGATAAAATTAAAACAAAAAAATCTAATAGTATGTTGTGATAATTAAAATCATTATGTCTTATAATAAATTGTGCAAAAAAAAAATTAAATCACTACCATAATACTTACCATGATCACACTAATATTCATTATATCAATGACTGTGATAGACGTGATCAACTAAAAACACAATTTAAATCTCCGATCTTATGTGCCTCAAAGCAGCGTGACTCAGGTTGAAGAAGGTGCTAGGAAGGTGTGGCAAGCCACTGTCCTGCTTGGTAAATTTTGTTGCAAACTTTATAATATTATATGGTTTCATTGTTGAGTTAGGCTGCTTGAATTCCAAATTGCAGCTTCCATTGTTGAATGGCAACTAATATTAATTAATGGCGCTCGCATGCCTTACTAAACAAATAAAAAAGACTGCAAATCATTTAAAAATGCAGAAATCATATGGGACGAGATCATCGCCATGATATTTGCTAGTTTATAATGATGATGTTAGTTCCCACGAATGAATTTGTTCAGAAAGACAGTGACTTAGTTGTTAATTAGTTGATCATATTCAATATAGATGATGAGTAGATGACTGATCTTGGCTTGGTTAAATGGATCATTAGCTTGTTTTTGCCAAACCACTTGCTTGAAAATCAGATTTTTGACTTCACAGTCTGCTAACAATAAAACTACAATATACTTGTAATCATCCTCAAGATTGAAAATTTTTTCTGATGTATATATATCATCAAGTCAAAGGTTCTTTCCCTGATCACCTTTGAAATTTGGAAATGAGTGAGATTCACTGTAACAATACCTAAAGTATTCACTGTATATATATAATCTGTTAAGAATGAAAGTATTTCTTGATTTTTCAAGCTCTCTTACGAATCTTAAACTGGTAACATTACAAGTTAAATTTGTTGTTAAAATGTGACATGCTTGCTCATTTTTAAAGTCAATGATGAGTGGGTATGGAAAATATGGGTGGCCTTAGGCTATGTTCAATGTCATGAGTTTTGGGAAACCAGTGAACATTCTTTTGAATGATTGTGGTTTTTGTTGGTCTTGAATTCCATGAAGCGGCTGTCATTGTTGAATGAGTTTAAACATAGCCAACTGCGAATCTAGAAAAGTTCTATAGATTGAGTCAATATAAAAATAATAAAATTTTATCTAAAATAATTCATATATATTTTTAATTTAAAAGTATAATGACAATTATATACATATATGGATTAAATCTAGAAAAACTTATTAATTGAATCAATATAATTTTCTTAACCTATTTCATACATATTTTTAATTTAGGGTAAACTAGCTATTTGGTCTCCCACTTTTTACTTAATTTATGTTTTGGTTACTTAACTATTATTTTTTTAAACCATACACAACCTTAAGTTTTGATTCTATTTTGATCACCTACTGTTAAAAAATTAACAATGATATTAACATGACATTTTTTTAATTATTTTTTAATCTTGATGTGGCATTATCTTATGATAACACATTAAGAGCACCGCTAATTTTTTTAAAGATGGCTGACCAAAACAAAACCAAAACGTAACATTATGTGTGTGATTTAATATAAATAATAGTTAGATGACCAAAATAGAAACTAAATAATAAGTAGGTGACTAAATAAGTAATTTACTCTTTTTAGCATGGGGTGGGTCATGTTAACAATAGGGTAAGCTACGTATTTAGTCACCAACATATTCACATGATTATGTTAATTTTTTTTAAATCATATCTAACTTTTATGTTTTGGTCACTCGCTGTTAAAAGTAAACAAAACTAATGAAGTGATAATTTTTTTATTATTTTAATAATGATGTAGCGTTATCTTATGATGTCATGTCATCAATTCTATTTATTTTTTAACAGCGAAGGACCAAAACAGAACTAAACTTTATTTTTAAAAAAACTTACATAACGTTTAGTCTAAGTTTTTATTTTAACACCTTATCGTTAAAAAATTAACGGTGATGTTGACATGTCATCATCGAAAAAAAATAAAAAAAGTGTCATGTCAGTAGTTTTGTTAATTTTTTAACAACATGGTTCCAAACTGAAACCTAAACTAAATGTTATGTATGATTTAAAAAAAATAAAGTTTGAGCATCAAAATATGACAAAATAATAATTTAAGTATTAAATATATAATTTACCTTATAATTTAATTACTATTTGTATATTTTATAAATAAAAAAACACCGGAGTCCATGAACTTTCCAACCACTCCAATGGCCAAATGAGTATTTTCATGTTTAGTAAACGAATCACTTGTTTTCTAACTCTTAAGGTGCTGTTTGATTCGGGGAACGTGAGATTTCCCGGGAATGAAATCCTAATTCCCCAATTGGTTGGCTGGTAATCTTATTCTCCCTAATGTTTTTATTACTAACAGTAGATTTTTTGAGTATATTATCGGGAATGTCATTACCCCTTCCCTTAGGTATTGTTGGATTATCGGCGTTTTGGACTAAAATGTCCTTAATTTTTTTTCCAAAAATATCATTCTTCTTTCATTGAATAATAAAAATTCTACGAATGTTAAATTACAAATTTATCCTTAAACTATTTTAGATTTACAAAAAAAAACTATAATTAAAATTTTATATGACGTTCAGGAGTTAAAATAAAATTTTACCATTTCATTAAACCTTTTTATATTTTCAATTTTGTAAAAAAAATTATATAAATTTTATGAATTTAAATTTTTTAAAGAAAATATATAAATATCTTATAGTAATATTATAATAGAATTCAACTTGTTAAAAAAACAAATATAGAATAATGACAATTTGGTCAAATATACATTCCAATAAACTTTTATTCTTTTAACCAAACACGGTAATCTTACATTCCTGCTAAATCAACCAAACACAAAATACAACATTCTAGTAATCCTATTCTCTGGTAATCTTTTATTTACATTGGTAAATTTACATTCCGTGAACCAAACGCAAACCTAAAAGAACTCAAATTTAGTTGGAGTATTATTGAGTTCGAACTACTTTAAGTTATTGGATAAGTTGCATTTATGTATCTTAATATTTATCTCAAATAGCTGGTTAGCTTAATTAGATGTTTATCTTATTGGACTCAAGTTTCTTAAAGCTTAAGTCAGCTCGGCCCAGTTTAGTCCTGATTGAATTGCCCCCAATTTATGATCATAAGGAGCAAACCGCAACACATAAACGCACCCTATTGTACTGTTATGACTCACATTTTGAACTGGTCCCTAAAGTTTTACATATTTCACTTTCATCTCTAAACTATGGCTATCATTCTAAATTAGTCCTCAAACTTTTGAACATTTCAATGTCATCCCCAAACTATGATCTTCATTCTAAATTGATCCCCAAACTTTTTGAACATTCCAATTTTATCCCAACTATATGTATATACTAATCGCATCCCTTGTTAATAAAACCGTTAGACCAAGTTATATTATTATATGTTTGAAAAAAAATTAGGTTAAACTATGGTTGAAATTAATTGCATATTTGGATGAATTTGGGAATAAAATTGGAAGATTCAAAAGTTTAGGGACCAATTTAGAAAGAGGTTCATAGTTTGGGGGTGAAATTGGAATGTTCAAAAGTTTAAGGACTAATTTAGAATGAGAATCATAGTTTGGGGATGAAATTAGAATATTCAAACGTTTAAGGACCAAACGAAAATTAAGGTTATAGATTGGGGACATATGATATAATTAACTCTTAATTTAATTATATTTATTACTTTTACATTAATTATTTATAAAATAAAATAAACAATTAACTCATTACCATATTATAATTTATTTAATTTTTGTTAATGCATTTAATATAATGTTTTTATTTTGTCGTACGAAATAATTTTACACTGCTTTTAAAAACTTAATTAATAATTTAATCTTACATATGCAACATTAATAATATATTTAAGTTTAATTAGAAGAAAACCATATATTGTTATTTAAATTTAAACATTCAAAAATTAAATATTTACAAATTAAATTATTTGTTGTTAGCTAGCTTGGACAACAAAATAATTTGGATTGTACTAAGTTCGATCTAACCTTTAAATCTTAACGCTTTTGAATTTTTCATATATCAAAAAGTTATTTGTATTTTTAAATAAATTTTATAACTAAGATTAAATAAAATTAAGATTGATACGATCGATTAGTCCGGTACATATTTCTGTAGCTCGGCTAGTTTGCTAAGTGTACAGTTGATACTGTATAAATACACTTCTTGACTTATACTTGAAAGATCAGATCATTAATCAATAGAAATTCGGATTTCTCAGTTTGTTTTCTTCATTCAACTTTAATCTACTTTCTTCAGAATCAGCAACAATGATGGTATGATTTTCTACCCAAGGAACTTACATATATGATCTCATACGAGGTCTGGCCATGGATTGTGCGCCATCGACGAATATAGTTGTCCCAGTCATAAAGCGAGAACCATCACTGATTAAATAGATGACAGTGGAAGCTAAATCCTTTTCAACATCCAACCATCTCTGCAATGGCGCTGCTCTTTCCACCAACTCCTCCGCCCTGTCCTTCCCAACCCACCGAGGAAACTCGTCGTCTAAGTGTAAACCACGAGCTATTGCATTTACCCTGATCTTGTGTTTCCCAATCTCCAAAGCCGATGCCTAATAACACCCATCAAAAGAAAGAAAGAAAAAAACTAATCGGCAAGGGATAAGTTAATGCATTTACTTACTCTAACTAATTGCTGGACTCCTGCCAGGCATGAACCATATGCGGCAGCTCCTTGATAGAGTCCTCTTTCGGCACCGAGGAACGTAGTCATGAAGATGATGGAACCGCCTGATTTACGGTCCCGCATTCTCCCACCAACAGCTTTGAGTAGAAACCATGCAGCCATGAAGTTTATTTTTACGATTTTTCTCAACTCTTCTTCGGCTAATTGCAGATGGTCTTGCATCTTTCCTGTTTCATATAGTTAGACACGGTTAGCCTTTCTCGAACCTCTTGCACGAACCAATTGGACTAAATCTTAATCGGTTTATTTGTACATTCTACTTCGATTTCTGTTGAAGGGTCCTCATATTCTTCCTCAATATAGCCGCATGTAAGTTACATATTGTTCAATTCTTTCACAGCGAAATAGGCACAAGGAAAGAGCAATAGGCCGGACCAACTTACGAAAACAAAACAGTCCCTTCGTAACCGGTCATCTATAATATCAAATAAATCATTTTCATGTTTGGTAAATTTACCAAGGGCTATAGTCATAACAATCCTTTTATTCAACTACTTCAACCATTTCCGAGCACCTTATGTTGTGGGGGCGTTCAAGGATTCAATTATTCTTTTTTATTTTTACTAGTTGTCTGAATTGCGGAATATAGAATATTCCCTACTAGTTCCGAAAGATTACTTTCATTATTCTCAGTGTCAGATCGTTTCTTTTTGTTTATCTTTCCGTTTGGGGACTCCCTCAATCCAAGAAAATGGGGAAGCCGACGGGGAAGAAGAGGTTTCAAGAAACAGGCAAGTCGGAGCTAAACATATCAACCCACTTCACAGTGTATCGAAGGTAAAGCGTTCTTCTAACACCCTCGAATCCTTTCATAAGATCGTATTAATTAAGCATAATATCCCACCAACACTCTTTCTGCATAAAATCTGGTTTAGAATTAATCAAAGGCCTTGGTAGATAAGATAAAAGGCTTTTGAAGATAAGATAATATAGGACGAACACAATATTTTATGTTACTTGGACGAATTTATAAAATTTTAGGAATGGAAATAGATTATAAATAAAAGAATACAAGAAAAATATTTAAATTATATGACAATTTAAATTTTTTAAGGGATGAATGCCCCCTACTGCCCATCAGTCCATCACATGCAGAATCCCATGTTTCCTTATTATCCTGGTGCTTGAACATTTTCTCGGGCACCAAACAGCAAAAAGGAATCCGAACAATACTTATAGCAGACATAATCACATACATACCTTCATAAGCAAAACAATTGACAAATGCATCAACAAATCCGAACGCTTTCCAAGCCTTATCTACTGCCTCATCAAAAGCTTCTTCTCTTTCCTCTTCCATATCCAATCCAACCACCTCTACTGGGACCATATTATTTGTTGAATTCATTATCTTCTTTCTCGCACTCTTCAGGCAGCATTCATTTCCCATCAAAACCAACCTAGTCCACAAGACCATTCTCACGTTAAACTTTTTGATTAATATGAAGCGTGTGCATAATGTAATGGATCGGATAAAATCTGGAAAATAAACGATAAAGTGAAACAAATAGTGAAGGATTAAAAGATTATAAAAAACTTTAGAAAAATCTAACGAGATTTTCTTCTTCTGAGAAACGAAACTTATGCAGAACATAGGAAACTTGAACCTGCAACCACGTTTGGCTAAATGCAAGGCAATGTTCACTGAAACCTCATCTCCATTAGATGCAAGCAGAACTTTTTTTGATTGATTCTCCATTATCCAAAGCAAGCTGCCAATCAACCAAAGTCCCATAAAACATCAAACAACAACAAAATCAAACAGAACCCTGAAAAAAAAACACAGAAGGGGAAAATGTTCATTAATCATTTACCAATATTGTTGTTGTGGTGGTGAAATGAACAAGCTTGAGACTTCAGCTTTAGAGAGGTTTCTAACGGTAGTGCAATGTTGCGAATGCTCCAAAAGAATCTATATAGTTAGATGGTTAGCTAGTTAGTTTGAGTTTGTTAGCTGATTAATTAGTTTAGGCAGCTAGCTATATAAGCAACTTACATTGTAAATTTGTGAAATGAAATATACCGAGGTTCCTTCATGTTCTGCTCCAAAACAGGTTGTTAACATTGACAAGTAAAAAAATATAACGAAAATAATCAAAGAGATTATTGTATTGAATAAAATTATTATATTATGATTTTGACTTGATCGGTGTAATCGTAGGATAGACTTACATAAATTTCAGTATTCATACACATACACTCATTTTACATTACCAACCTTTGTTAAGAAAAAAAATTGTAAAGAGATGTGAATGCTACGGCACCTAACAATTAATTAATTCCTTTTTCAAGTGCTTTACCTGCTTTGTCTGCAATGCCTAAACTTATTAACTCCCAACATCATCCACATGTTTTGGTATAACTTTAGTTTAGATCACGTGTTTGATCTATTTCTTGTTCCACCTATAGTTGGTGTATTTTTATGTATTATAGTAGTGTTTACAATATTTTAAAGGATAAATTACATGTTTAGTACCTCAATTATCACTTTTATTTTATTTTGATCACCCAATGATTTTTTCCAAAACATACTTAACGTTTAGTTTTGGTTTTGTTTTGGTCACTTGCCGTTAAAAATTAACCATGATGCTGATAAGATAATGTCACGTCATATTTGAAAAAATTTTAAAAATATATCACATCAGCAATTCTGTTAATTTTTTAACAGTGGGTGATAAAAATAAAACTAAAACATAACATTTGGTTTGACTTTGAAAAAAATAGTTAGTTGACCAAATCTTAACGTTTGGTATATTTTTTTAAGGAAATAGTTAGGTGGTTAAAATGAAATAAAAGTGATAGTTGAGGTACTAAACATTTAGTTTACCCTATTTTATATTATAAATTTTAACACCTTAATAATGCATATTATACAGTAGTAACATTATACTTATTTTTATAATGGATTACATTTTAATTGTTTTTAATCATATTTATCTATTACAACGGTATACAGAATACCACGTGTTTTGACTGTGATTAACGATGGTACTAGAAGCTAGAGCTAATAAATACTAAGCAAAATATCGTCGTTCACTACTTCAATTAATTGGGTTTGACATTAAGAAAAACGGAAATATTCAAACTTAAACATTTAAACAAGAAGATGTAAGCAGTGGTGGTTTAATTAAATATTTATTTGGTGATAGTTGGGTTATAATGATTCAATTGGAGATGATGGCCAAAAACAAATTGACGATGGCAGTTGGAATGGTTTGCTTATTAGGGCAAAGATCGGATGATGGCTAAGTGTAAGTTTGATATTGATTTTGAAAGATGATTTTAAAAGTGATAAAAAAATATTTTTAATCAAGTTTTAACTGAGTCAAGTTCAAATAGTTAACGATCGACTCAACTCATTAATCATCTCTAATTGTCAGAGTTCCGCATGGTAGAACCCAAACCCCTACTTCCGGGGGAATATTTTGATTGAATCAAGTAAAAAAAGTTAAATTTGTCGATTTGATAAGTGATTGAATCGGTATTTATTTCTGGAAAGATACGGTTTGTGGCTACATAATATAATGTATACTTCTTATATATGAATAAATAAATCGATTTGACGCTAGCTCAAAACATATTGTAATTTTGACTTTCTTTTCGAGAGATTCCTCCCGTTGTTCCAAGAGAACCCCGTCTGCTAAAAACAAGAAAGGGTTCAATGACGCATTGGATTGTAGACTGAAAAAGTAATTTCCCCTTATTCAATTAGATTAGATGAATGTGGATGAAGAAGTCAATTCATTTTCTACATTCAACACATCTGGAAACGGACTAGTTCAGATCCAATTGTTTTCCGGGTTTAAATTATTTTAGATTTGAAGTATTTTCTTTCGATTAAGTAAAATATATATAATATTTCAAGATAAATATCAATATTCAAATATTATATTTTATATATAAAAGGAATCCGGAATCCGGACATGCTGAATATTTGCTCTTCTTTTATTTATTCATTTGCTGTGAATTGGAGAAACACACTGTGTGCATATTGGGAGTGGTAAATGGAAGAACCCGTACAAGGTAAAGGACAATATTGAGCTTCCAATTTCACATAATATAATGTGTACATATATATTTATTTTTTTTAAGATTTATTTTATTTTATTTTATTTTTGATAAATTTAGGATAAATATAAAATAGTATTTGCTTAAATACTTTCGACCATTAAATAATGAACACTTATATTTTTGACATTTGCAGTGCTCGAGCATGAGAGTTTAAGAGATAATAATAATTACTTTAATCATTAAGGTCGCTTGATTCATAATTTGTTAATATTTCTGGTTAATAATAATGGGATAGTTTCTTTTTCCATTTTCAAATAATTGGGAATGAGATCATGTAGATCGTCCAACTACTTCAAGATATTTTGATTCATTTGCAAATGGTAGAGATATGGACCTCTTACATCAAATTTAGGCCCAATGGTTAGGAAAAATTTGTCCTAAATCCCTCAGTTTGTTGGCGTTTCTGTTTATGATTTAAGGACAATAATAAAATAAACCAATAGAACTGGTGGTGCTACATATCTGATTAAATACCTTTTTTTAAAAAAATTACACTGTAACAATTGATATATTATCAATGGAAGTGCCAAGTTTGTATACGATTGTCCTTGATCATATGTGTGAACAAGTTCGTTTGTAAACGAGTGTGCTTCATCTTATATGTGAACAAGTTGTCTTCAAGAATCAAGAGCCAACTTTTAAAGATGTGTTGTATGATAAATTTTATTATCATATTCGGGTATGTGATTATCATTCCTAATAATATTGTCTCTAAAATTCAAATTTGAGATCTCTCTTTTAAGAATACGATGTGTCTTACCACGTCTATTATTTGTTGGTGGTACTCCATGAAGTATAAACTGAGGAAAAAAGTTTTCAGAACTCAAAGGTCCCACTCCTATGGTGGATTATATCCAAAATTGAACAGATGGAAGTATCATCAAATCCTTCAATTGTAACTGCAGCTGATATTTTTGGCAGATAATGTAACTGAAACCAAAGAACAAACTTCCTACAGTCTTGCACTTTTTGAGGGTAGTGATTCGATGATTAAATTTCCTCTAAAAGCACTTGTTTTCGGAATGGATTAGAAGCAAACGATCTCTTTATCCAGACCTATGCTACCAGTTGTCAAAAAGCCATTCATCCACGTCCACCATTGAGTCTAACTATCCTGAAACATAACCTAGAATCAGATCTTACAAGAGATGGCACCAATATGTTGCTGCTGCAATAATATTGGGGTAGCATGTAAAGGTTTAAAAGATGTAATGAAGATAGAAAAGTAAGGAATCATCAATATCTGGGAATATGTGCCATATGGGGATGTGTGATTATGTGTTTTGAGGTGAAATTGGCAGTTAAAAGAGAAGTTTTAAGGACAGGCGTACTAAAGTTGAAGGGAGAGGTAGAAAGATAAGGATGCCTGCTTTACGTGTAGCTAGAATTCCCAGTTGACCAGGGAATTGGATCTCAAATCCAGGGGGGGGGGACAATACAATGGCTGTTACAACAAGCTGAACCATCGATAAGAGGCTTAGTTTCGCAGCAAGGGGTGTCTATTTCAGCAGGGTTTCACCAAAGGATTGAAGATTTAGTGGGCTCCAGTAGGACCAGTTGGACAATGGTGAGTGGTAATTTGGAGAGACCCCGCCATGCTGGTACAGGGTTATGGTCCAATATGATGCAAGGAAAACTTAATGGTTTTCTTCTTCCCTAGGTCTGGATGGGGGAGTCTATAGATTTGTTCTTGAAATTAAACATTCAAATTTATTGTCATTCATGTCGAGTTTCTTCTTAGAATCAAGAATTCTAAGAATTGATAAAAACTGGTTTTCCTATTTCTTATTGAAGAGATACATCACCTTCTAACTGTGTGACTTCAGCAGATTTAAATGCTAGGTAGATTGATTATTGAATCAACAGAAGAAAACTTATAGATCATTCATGGAGTTACCAATGTACCGATGCTAACAAAAGGTCGACCGACAGACGGGAATTGAAAAAGAAAAAAAACTATGAACAACCTCCATTGAAAAATCTGCCTAGAAATAGTCCTGTTGATCTTGATCTCTGAGAATGATTCCGCTTTAAACCAATGTTTGAGCAGTACAGGCATTTCTGCAGGTGCAGGATCTTGTTCTCACTCTTTAAGTGCTCGAGTTTCAGCCGTAACCGATTGATGGTTTCTCGCTTTTCCTCATTCCTTCTTAATAGTTCTGCTTGCTGCCGCAGAGTCTCTTCCATAAGCTTTGTAACTCGAAACCATGTATTCACCTTTCCAAAACCACCCTTTTGGAACTCCACAAATTCATCCGAAACTTCTCGATTACTTTTTTCTTCAGGTTTTCTCATGAAAGCCGTATTGCACTGTTCTGTTAATACCATATCATCTGCTATTTTCTTCAGATGTTCAAAGTCGGATCTATAATGTTCATAATCAGAATTGTAGACACCCGTTTTTGTCCGGGTCTTGTTTGTATATTATTATCGTTATTATTATTATTATTATTATTATTATTATTATTATTATTTACATTTACAAATTTTGCAGGCCTAGTCCCTAAGCCCAACAGCATACCCAACAAGCTGGAGCAGACCCGGTTCAGGCCCAATACCAATCCCAGGCCCACTTGACAACCCAGCTAGGGTTTCATCTCAATGGTCCAGCCGCCTCCTTTCTGGCCGTTGGATCTGGACCCATCCAACGGTCCAGATCACACAAAGCTTAGGGTTTTAAACCCTAAACCTATCATCATTCAGCCGCCGCCGCCGCTTCTGTTGGACTGCCAGCCGCGCCGCCGTCACTGTTCCGGCCCACTCCGATGGTCCAGCCGCCGTTCCCGCGCCACCA